ATATATCTTGTGAGAATATGCCTTGAGAATATTGCATGTGAAAATACATAATTTACCACTCATTCAGTAATGTTGAACATCCATTGATGATTCATTTTTCTCTTTTGCTTGTCAGAAAATGTGTGTGCTTACCAAGAAGAGACAGAAAGAGGGAGGGAGGAAAGAAAATCCCTATTCTTTCATTTCTCCCTCCTATTGGAATTTGGGGCATGCACCTCCATGTACCTAGCATGTTTTCAAAGCCACTGGGGCCAGGATTCAGAATTGCAAATGGCAAAAAAAGATTCAGCTCTCTTAACTACTAGGCCAAAGGGCTACCCTATTGATGATTCTTTCCTTAATCTTTCTTTTTTTTTTAATTGCCAGAGGACATGTGTACTTACCTGAGAAAGGGAGAGGGAAAATAAGAAAACAGCTCCTCCCCTGTAGTGTGTGGTCACAGTGCATTTCCTCTTCTTCCATTTCTCCCTCCCTTTGGGTTTTAAGCATGTATGCATACATACCTGGGTGTGTGTGTGTGTGTGTTTTGGAGAGGTTTTTGCTGTAGGGTGTGTGTGCTCACCAGAAAGACAGAGACAGAGAGACAGAAAGCGAGAAATCACCTCCCAGAGGGGATGGCCACACCACAATCCCTTCTCCATTCTCCTCTTGGGATCCTGGGCATGCATGCACACATTCCCAGCGTGACTTTAAGCCACCAGGTCTGGGACTCGAACCACGGTTGACTACATGGGAGTCCAGCGACAAGGCCATTACGCCATCTGCTGGTCCCTGTGTGTGTGTTTTTAAGAGGTTTTTGCCTTAGCGCACATGCATTAGTGGGGGGGGGAGGGGAGTGAGAGGGAAAGTGAGAAACTGCCCCCTGGAGGGATGGCCACACCACAGTCTCTTCTCCATTCTCCTCCCAGCATCTTGGGCATGCAAGTATACAGGCCCAGCGTGAGTTACAAGCCACCAGGTCCAGGACTCAAACTGCAGTCAGCTACGTAAGAGTCCAGCAACGTCATCGCTATGCCATCTTCTGGCCCTCTTGGTGTGTTTTTTAAATCACCATGTCACCATGTTTGCCATGCAATTTACCATGTGAGATCCAGCCACCCTAACCACCACATCACCTAGCTGGCTCTTTAGGAAAAAAATTTTTTTTTAATTTTTTTTTTTTTTTTAAGATTCCTGTTACAGAAGTACATTCACTTGCTGGAGAGAGACAGAGAGAGGGAAAGTGAGAAATCACCTTCCAGGGGATATGGCCATGCTACAGTTCCTTCATTCTCCTCCTGGAATTTTGGGCACACAAAGACACATGCCAGGTGCTACTGTGATTTTCAAGCCACCAGATACAGGACTCCAACTGTAGTTGGCCATGTAGGAGTCCAGTGCTGTAACCACCATGTTACTGGCTGATCCCTACGACACCCATTTAAAAATAATGTTTAGCGATACAGCCAGTAGTGTGGTGGTTAAGGCAGTTGGATCCCTCATGACCAACTGCGAGGTTCAAGTCCCACACCCGGTAGCTTGGAGAAAACACCAGGCACATGTGCATGCGTGCCCTAAATCCTGAGAAAATGGAGAAGGGACTATGTTGTGACTGTACCCCCTAGGGGATGCCTTCTCACTTTCCCCTTCTTCTCTTTCAACTGCAGATATACCTTGTAGCAAATTTCTGAAAATTTAGGGGCTGCCTGATGGCAGAGTGGTTACAGGTACTGAATCCGACATATCCATCTGTGCAGTTCAAGTCCTAGACCTGGTGTCTTTCAGCAACTTGAAAGATACATCCGGAGCATGTGCGTGCACGTCCAGAACCGGAAAGATGGAGGAGAACGGATTGGATGTGGCCATTTCCCCTTGGGTGTGTTCTTTCCCTCTTCGTCTCTCCAGCAAGCACATGCACCTTATAGCAAATTTTTACAAAATTAAGCCAACAAGCAGCATTTATACATAAAAACATCTGACAGGAATATGTCTACTACAATAAATAATGGAAAAGTAGTAATTTTTAGGATATATTCAGAATAAAAGAGATCTTTTTGTAAAGGAGCAGTAGCAATGTAGTAAAGTGATTGAGAGCCTTTGCTTTGGCATCTGACTAATTTGCTTTGTTAATTTTGTGACTTTAGAAAAGTTAACTTTATTATCTCATATGCAAAATGTAAATGTAAATGATATTCATGCCCTTCTTTAGGATTTTAAGAGGTGTATGTTAAAGTGTATGTTAAAGCATTAACACAACATGTAGCACAGGGTAACCAAATGGTTTTTAGCTGTAAGAAATGAAGTTTCTACCTTTTTAAAAAATATATTTTTTTAATGAAATTACTCTTCTAGAAGATACATTTGTTTGTTTTAATTTGCTCTAAGGTGAGTGATCTTGCTAGAGAGGGAGAGAGAGAGTGAGAACCCCTGAGGGGATGACCATGCTGCAGTCTCTTCGCGTGTACCCAGCGTGTTTTTCAAGGTGCTGGATCTGGAACATGAACTATGCACTCAATTATGTGGGATCCAGTTGCCTTAACCACCATGCAACCTAGCCCAAAGATGGCTATTTCTTTCTAAAATGTAAATATAAATAATTCAGTAATTTTCCCCTTTTACCAAAATTGACAGCATTGAAAGTGTTAAAAGACATGAGTATAAAATTTAGCATTATTTGTAATCAATTGGATTTAATAATTTTATTAAATGCAATCATCTTCGCTTATTTCCTTTTTCTTTTTTTCCTTTAGAGTGAACCAGAGGAAATGCCTCCAGAAGCAAAGATGAGGATGAAGAATATAGGAAGGTATTAGAATTTTTCATCAATATTGCTAGCTATTATGAATTAAAGGCAAGAATAAAAGCTTAGCCACAGCTCTACAAGGGTGTGCCACTGCTTGGGAGCCTGGAAGCTTCATGGGAGCTCAGCTTTAGTTCCCTGGCTAACTTGAACACTGAGTGTGGTTGTTCGTGAATGTAATCCTAGCTAACTGGAAGGTTGGGGCAGGAGGATTGTGCCATGGCAAAACACTGTCAGAAATACCCATCCTTTCTTTTCCAGTTACTTATTTAATTTTTAAATTATTATTATTTTTTCTTAGTTTGCTATAAGGTTATATGTGCTCATGAGAGAGACAGAGAAAGAAAGAAGGAAAATGAGAAAGTAAGCTGCCAGGTCCTGGACTTGAACCCTGATTGGCCATGTGGTTGTCCAGCGCTCCAATAACCATACCACCTGCTGGTCCTGGGAATGCCTATCTCCTATAAGGAAAAAAAAAAAAAAAGAAAAGAGAACAAATTGCACGTAATATTTGTAGTCTTCAGGCTTTTCTTGTGCATTTTGATAAGTTCTCAGCATTTTCTGTATACTGGTATGTAGTTAGGATTATAAAAATGAGTAGGACATGTACCACTTATCATGAAGAAAGAATTCTAATATTCTGTGAGCTGTCAGTGATCTTATTTTTCTTTCCTGGTAAGAAAAGATAAGTATCTTAAATAAGTATTTTTAAAAAACAATTAAATGTAAATTGTATCTCCACATAAAAAATAGGTATGATAGGAACCAGCAGATGGTATAGCAGTTATATCACTAGACTCCCACATGTCCAACCATGGTTCAAGTCTAGGACTTGGTGGTTTCAAAATCACGCCGGGTGCATGTACACGTGTTCCCAAAATGCCCGGAGGGGAATGGAAGGGAAGAGATTGTGGTGTGGCCATCCCCCTAAGTTTTTTTTTTTTTTTTTTTTTTTCTCACTTTCCCCCTCACTGTCTCTTTCTTTCTTGGGAGAGCACATGTCATAAGGCAAAAACAAAAACAAAAGGAGTGAGAAATATTTCTGATTTAAGTATTTTCTTTTTTTGATTTGCTAGAGGGGACTTACACTTGCCTGAGAGAGGCAGAAAGAGAGCTGGAGGGAAAAAAACATAGTCATTCTTTTCCATCCTGTTGGATTTTTGTACATCTGTGCACACAAATCCAGCATGCTTTTTTTATTATTATTAATTTTATTCTTTGTCATTATTTTATTGTGGTTTTATTTTTTTGGAAGTTGACCAGAAAGAGAGAAAGAGTGAGAAAGCCAGCTGCCAGGTCTGGGACTCAAACCGCATTCAGCCATGTGGGAGTCCAGCTGCCTTAACCACCACGCAACCAGCCACTCTTCCCCCCAGCATGTTTTTTGTTTGTTTGTTTGTTTGTTTGTTTGTTTTGGGGGGGAGAGGTTTTTGCTATAGGGCGTGTGCACTCGCCAGACGGACAGAGAGAGACAGAGAGATAGAAAGCAAGAAATCACCCCCCAGGGGGGATGGCCACGCCGCAATCCCTTCTCCTCTATTTTCCTCTTGGGATCTTGGGCACGCACGCATATGCGCCCGGCATGAGTTTAAGCCACCGGGTCCTGGACTTGAACCGCGGTCGATTACGTGGGAGTCCAGTGACATAGCCATTACACTAACTGCTGGTCCCCCTGCAGCATGTTTTTTTATGCTGCCAGGTTTGAGGCTTGAACTGCACAATCAGTCATGTGGGATCCAGTACGTTAATCATTAGGTCATGGGGCCAGCCCTCTGATTTTATATTTAAATTAAAAATCTTTTTCTGGTGTAAAAGGGAAATGGCTTTTAGTCACTTCACTTATGATGTCATTCTTGCCACTTGATTTTATATGTCCTTTTTTACTTGATTAATTTAGATGCCAGATACCACAATATTACAAAACTATTTTATTCTATTTTTTTTTTTTAGTTTATTTTGACAATTAAATCAAGGATATTACCGTATACATCATTTTCAAAAGAGAATTTTACATTCTTGGATCTGTTAAGTGTTCTTCCCTTTGCTCCTCCCACCTACCATCTGTCATTCTCTCCCCTCCCTTACGGATTCTGGTGTCTACACTTACCCTTCCTTCTGTCATATTTTTGGATCTTTCAGTTTCAGCCATAGAGTATAGACATTCAGAATATATTGAGCGGGGATATTCAGTGTTTTTCAGTCTGTTTTACTTCACTTAGCAGTAGGTCTTGCATATTCAACCACTATGAAACAAATGTCAGTGTTATTGTTTCTTATGGCTGAATAATACTCCATTGCATATATGTGCTACAATTTTTTTCAACCCAGTCATCAGTTTTGGGCAATTAGGTTGATTTCTTGAATTTGTGGTTACAAGTGGCACTGTACCTGTCTTTCTGATTAGGCTGCTTGAGTACTTTCCTATCCTTTGGATCAGTACCAAGGAGTAGGAATACTAGGCATATGGTAATTCTATTTGTAGATTTTTGAAGAACCTCCTTATTGTTGTCCACAGTGGCTGTACCAGTTTACGTTTCCACCAGCAGTGTAGGAGAGATCCCTTTTTGCCACAGCCTTACCAGCAGTTGTCATTGGTTTTTTGGTTTTTTTTTTTTTTTTTTTTTTCAAATCATAGCCATTCTGACTGGAGTTAATATGTATTTCATGGTTTTGATCTGTTAAGCTTATCTGCTCTTTATTTTGGTTAGGTTTTTCCTGTAGGGCACATGTACTTGCTGGAGAAGGAAAGTGAAAAATCACCCCTCCAGGGGACGGTTGTGCCACAATCCCTTCTCCATGCTCCTTTTGAGATTTTGGCATGCACACCCACCTGCCTGGTGTGATTTTCAAGCTGCCAGGTCCACAACTCGTATCATGGTCAGTCATGTGTGAGTTCCGCACCTTAACCACTATGCCAACTGCTGGACTCATTTGCCCTTTTTAAATTGGATTATTTGCTTTTTCACAGGTAAGCTGTTTGAATTCCTTATATATTCTGATTACCAGTACCTTATCTGAAGCATAGCTGGCAAATATTTTTTCCCATCCTGGATTGTCTCCTCACTCTATTTATTGTTTCCTTTGCTTTGCAACTTTTTTTTTTTTTTTTAAAGAGGTTTTTGCTATAGGGTGTGTGTGCTTGCCAGAAAGATAGACATAAAGCAAAAAATCACCCTCTGGGGGATGGCCGTGCTGCAGTCCCTTCTCCATTCTTATCTCGAGATCTTGGGCACTCACGCACATGCACCTGGTGTGAGTTTAAGCCACCGGGTCCAGCAATTAGCGTAATGGCTATGTCACTGGATTCCCATGTAGTTGACCGTGGTTTGAGTCCAGGACCCAGTGACTTAAACTCACGTCAGGCGCGTGGGCGTGCACATGCATGCCCAGATACCGAGAGGAAAATGGAGGAGAAGGGATTGCAGCATGGCCAGCCCCCTGGACTCAAACCACGGTCAACTACCTGGGAGTCCAGCGATGTAGCCATTACACCATCTGCTGGTCCCTGAAGCTTTTTAGTTTGATGGAGTCCCACTTGCCTATGGGACTTATGCCTGTGCATTAGAGTGATAGAAGAAGTATTTGAATTTAAAGGTTTTTTTCAATTTTCCTTTTTTTTTTTTTTTTTTTAGAGAGAGTGCACTTGCCAGAGAGAGAGAGAGTGAGAGAGAGAAAGTGAAAAAGTATCCCGTGCGGTCCCCCCTCCGCCCTCCCCATAAACAATACCCGTGATCAGCCACAGTCCCTTCTCAGTTTTTTTGGAATTCTGGTATTCACACACAGACATGCCTGTTCTCTTTTTCAAGCCACTGGATCCAGAACTTGAACCATGCAGTTGACCATGTGGGATTCAGCTGCCTTAACCACCATACCACCTGGCTGGCCCTGTTTTCTTGTCTTTATATTCATAAATGGATAATCAAAGGCCAGTAAAAAAGGGTCATCTTCTATCACAATGCCCCCATTTCCACCAAATATTTGAACTTCCAAAGAACTAAGTGCCAGGAACCAGCAGGTGGCATAGTGCTTAAGGTGCTGGACACTCCCACATGACCAGCCGTGTTTCGAGTATGACCAACCATGTTTCGGGTCCCAGATCTAGTGGCTTGCTTTCTCACATCCCCCCGCCGCCCCTGTCTCTCTCTGGTCAAATTTTAAAACTGAATGATTCTTAAAAAAAAAGAACTAAGTACCAAATCCACACATAAACATCAGTCTTTAGATGTTCGTAATTCCTTTTATACTGGGACCTGAGGAAATACTCCTGACATTGTTCCTAGCTTGAATATCCAGTACGCATATTTAAACATATAAAATTGAAACAGAAGTTCATACAGTGACACCAGTTTTTATTTATTTTTTTTAGTTTTTACTGTAGGGCATATGCACTTACCAGAGAGAGACAGAGACAAAGTGAGAAATCACACCCTGGGGGAAGGCCATGCCACAGTCCGTTTTTTAGTCTCTCAGGATTTTGAGCATCCATGCACATGTATCCAATGTTATTTTCAAGTCTCCAGGTCTGGGACTCAAACCGTGCAGTTATCTGTATGGGATCCAACACCAACCTCCATGTCACCTGCTAGCTGACACTGAATTTTTATTACAGTTTTTATAAATTCTGATGGCAAGCTACCACACTGAATTCATGATCTAGTTAATGGGTTGTAGGCAAAAGTTTTAATACTACAGTGGTTATCTTTCACTGTGTATCACAATTACCTTAAATGTTTGTGATAACTACATATTTACCTGCCTCCCCACTTCAGGCCTACTGCCTCTGAAGATCTAGAACAATCTGTGGAAAGGTTATTTTTTAAAAGTTCTGTAAGAACGTACAATGTCCAGTCTGTTTTTCTTTTTTCTTTTAAATTATTCATTTAATTTTTCCAGAGAAAGAGGGAGAGTGATAGAAAGCAAGCCACCAGGTCTGGGATTAGAACCGAGATCAGCTATGTGGGAGTCCAGGTACCACGCCTCCTGTCAGCCTCCAACCTGTGTTTAATTTTTATTTATTTAAGAATTATTTTATTGGGAACCAGCAGTTAGCGTAATGGCTGTCGCTGGACTCCCATGTAGTCAACCGCGGTTCGCGTCCCGGCCCCGGTGGCTTAAAACTCACACCGGGCGCATGTGCATGCCCAAGATCCAGAGGGGAGAATAGAGGAGAAGGGATTGCAGCATGGCCAGCCCCCTGGGGGGTGATTTCTCGCTTTCTGTCTCTGTCTGTCTGGCGAGCGCACGCGCCCTATAGCGAAAAACCTCTCCAAAAAAAAAAAAAAAGAATTATTTTATTGGGGTCCAGCAATTAGCGTAATGGCTATGTCACTGGATTCCCATGTAGTTGACCGCAGTTTGAGTCCAGGACCCAGTGACTTATACTCACGTCAGGTGCGTGGGCGTGCACATGCATGCCCAGATCCCGAGAGGAGAATGGAGGAGAAGGGATTGCAGCATGGCCAGCCCCCTGGGGGGTGATTTCTCACTGTCTGTCTCTTTTGTTCTGGCAAGTGCACACGCCCTATGGCAAAAACCTTTCAAAAAAAAAAAGTAAAAAGAATTATTTATTTATTTATTTATTTATTTATTTAAATTTGACCAGAAAGGGGGGGGAGGGAGGGGGGTAGAGAGGGAGAGCGAGCAAGCGAGCGAGCCACCATGTCCGTTACTCAAACCACACAGTCAGCCATGAGAGTCCAGCGCCCTTAACCACCACGCCACCTGTCGGCCCCCTAGCCTGTTTATAATAGGTGCTAATACATATAGAAGTGTGTATTAAATTAGTTAAAAACAGATGAAAAGATTTTTTGAAGTTTCTTTTATGAAAGACAAACACACTCACACTGTGACACACCCTCCCCTTCCCAATCCTTCCATCCATCCAGTAATGTGGCTGAACCCAGTTTTCCGGTATTGCAGAGCACTACACTACTGCTGCTCCGGAAGGACTTCAAGTAACATTTAAATTTCCTTTCTTTTAACACAGGGATACACCAACGTCCGCCGGACCAAACTCCTTCAATAAAGGAAAGCACGGGTTTTCTGATAACCAGAAGCTATGGGAGCGAAATATAAAATCTCATCTTGCAAATGTCCATGACCAAGACAATTAAATAATGTGTTTTGAAATTGGGGTGTGGGGTGGGTGTAAAGTTAAAAGGAACAGTTTCCTTTTTTAAAGAATGGTATAAGACTATCTTTGGAGCCGCTTTTTTTCTTTTTCATTTTCTTTTTAAGATTGAGTGGTACACTGATAAATGAGAGTTTGAAATTAGAGGTAATTTATGTTTTATATGCAGATTTCAAGACATTACTAATTTTGTAGTTCATGTGATTAGTTTCCAAAGGTTACAGATAATAAATCAGAAATGGTACCTTTTTAAGAATTGCATATTTTTTTAGACACAACTCTTAGCACATTAAGAGGGAAGCAAAAAGTTATTGTCTATTTAAAACTGCAAGCAGTTACTCACGCTCAACTCCCTCATTACCTAAACTGGCTCCCAGGAACAGCCTTATAGAGAGAGGGAGTATTGTGTTGGGAGGAAAATGTTACTGGACTATTGACAGAAAGTAAATTTAGGTAAAATACAGCTTTTTTTCCTTATGGGCATTTGTTTTGTTTCTAGTCATTATAAGCTAGGTATTGCATTGCTGTCAGTGGATTAGAAGCTTAGCTCTTTTTAAAAAAAATAAAATTTTTATGTAAACTGAATATTTGAAATAGCCCACTTCACCTTAATGGGTCTTGTCTACCTTCATTAGTCTTCAAAGAACAACCATTTGCTACCAAAGTAAATCAGTATTTTGAATGTGCTTCTCTTGATTTGGTTATTAGCTAGTTCCTGTAAGCATTTCCACCAGAACTTGAGGCAAATCATAAGGAAGCTGTTTCTTTTAAAATACAAACCACCACCAAAAATTTCCATGTACATATATATTGTTTAAGCATTTGGCTATTTTTGTTTTTTAAAAGGTATAAACACCAAAAAGAAAATTTAACATTGTATGAAAATGGAAACAAGATGTACTTTCTGTAACTTTGTATAAGTATTTTAAGTTACTAACTTGTGAAATTCAATTTGAACTGAATTTACTACAGGATTTCTTATTAGTACACTTACATGGCTTATTTTACATATATATGTTTTGACCAGTGGCCTCTCAAAAGCACACTTTAGGTACAGAAAATGGAAAGAAAATGCATCTTCAAACATATTTTATGGTATCTCTCACCACATATACTTGTTAGATTTGTGTATCGTAGGGCTTTTGTTTTGTATTTTTCTATTGTATATGAATTTTGTTTTTAACGTGACAGTTATATGCATCTCTAAAAGCATGGTCGCAGACTAAAACACACAGTGTGTAATGATTTCCCTGAAAACTCCTGCAATGTTAAATTTGGAGGCAGCTTCAGACTATTACATTGGTGGTAACTACTCACTGAGCTTTTTAAATGGGTGATAAATCCAGAGAAGCAGCCTGTGTATATTCCTAACACTTTGTTCACTTGCCTTTAAGTTTAGAATAAGCCCCAAGTAAAACAATGGAAATGTATATAGAACTATTAGTTCTTTCATGATTTAATTATATCAAGATACATGAATTTAACTTTAACTTTTCTGTAGGCAAACTGTCCATCTTTGTCCATTTTATTGTGTGTTAAAATAACATCCCTCTCCTACATTCTTTTCTTGACCCAAATGAACTATTAACCTAAGGTCAAGGTGGGAGAGAAAAACGACTGAGATGAATGTCTTTACTAAAATACCAATAAATTTGTCAAACTCAGTAGTGTTTTTATTTTCTGTTCCACGTAATTGTTGCTGGCTGGTGTTTTGTTTTGTACAAAGAAGTTGAGACAGATGTTACTATTGTCCAAATTGCTGGCCACAGTAAGTAACGGGATTTTAAATTCTTAGTTTTGTGGGACCGGCAGATATTGTAATGGCTACGTCACTGGGCTTCCATGTAGTCAACCACAGTTTGAGTCTCAGACCCGGTGGCTTAAACTCATGCTGGGTGCGTGTGCGTGCGTGCCCAAGATCCCCAGAGTACAGTGGAGGAGAAGGGATTACAGCATTGCCTCCCACCCCCGAGGGGTGATTTTTCGCTTTTTGTCTCTCTGTCTTTCTGTCTTTCTGGCAAGCACACGCGCCCTATAGGAAAAACCTCTCAAAAAATAAAAACTTGGTTTTGTGTCTACCAACATGTAGTTCTATAGCATTACAGTGTCTCAGTTTGAAAAAGACGATCCAGAATTATCATTATCATCTTAACTTGCTGTAGAGTACATGCATTCACCAGAGAGAGAAAGAGGAGAGAGAAGGAAAGTGAGAAATCAGCTCCCAAGGGGGGTTGGTGTAATCCCTTCTCCATTTACCTCTTGGGATTTTGCACATACATGCACCCAGAGTGATTTTCAAGCTGCCTGGTCTGGACTCAAACCATGGTCAGCCATGTGGGAGTCCAGAGCCTTAATGAGCATTGCACCTGCTGGCCTCAGATACTTTTAAAATTATTTTTAATTTTTTATTTTGAAAAAAATATAGATAAAACATTTCAAAAATTAAGTTTTATATATACCCTTTACTCTTGTTCCCCAAATGTTAACATATGTAGTCAGAAGATAAGTGTCAAAGTCAGGGAATTAATGTTATAATTATACACTTATCTTTTATTACCTATCTTATTCTGTAGACCACATCTTAAAATTTTTGCCCCACAAATACATCCTTGATACAAGATCCACTTAATTATCACTTCATTGGTTTTCAACTTGCTTAGGTCTCAAGTTGGGGGTACTTTGGATTTTATCTTTCATGGCATTAGACTTGTTAAAAGAGCACAGAACAGGGAGTAGTAGATGGTGTAATGGTTACATTGCTGAATTCCCATGTAGTCGACTGGTTTGAGTCCCGAACCCGGCTGCTTAAAATACACTGGGCATGTGTGCGTGTGTGTCCAAAATCTCAAGAGGAGAATGGAGAAGGGATTCTGGTATGGCCACCCTCCTTGGCCCCTCGGCCCTTGCGTTGTCTATCTGTCTGTTGCGTGAGTGCACACACCCTATAGCAGAAATCTCTAAAATAGAGTACAGAACAGTTATTTGTAAAAGACCTCTCAAATTGGGGTTTGCCTTATATTTCTTCATAAGAAAACATTCAGTTTATATATTTATATTCAGATTATACATTTGTGTTCAGTTTATACATTCTGACAAGAATACCATGAAATTAATGTGTCCTCAAATGTATCTTACTAGGCCAAGTACATTGTGTTCAATTTTTTTTTCTCTTTTTGGAGAGGTTTTTGCTATAGGGCATGTGCGCTTGCCAGAAAGACAGAGACAGAAAGCGAGAAATCACCCCCCAGGGGGGATGGCCACACTGCAATCCCTCCTCCATTCTCCTCTCCAGGTCTTAGGCATGCATGCACACGCACCCAGCATGAGTTTAAGCCGCTGGGTCCAGGTCTGGAACTGCAGTTGACTACACTGGGAGTCCAGCGACATAGCCATTACGCTAACTGCTGGCCCCTGTGTTAATTTTTTTAATAGAGGTTTTTGCCTCAGGTAATGTTGCTTGCTGGAGAAAGGTAGAGACAGGGAAACTAAGAAATCCACAATCCCTTCTCCATTCTCCTCTTGGAATCTTTGGCATGCATGCACATGTGCCTGGTGTGAGGTTTTTTTTTAGGGGGGGGGTAGTTTTTGTTACAGGGCATGTGTGTTCACCAGAAAGAGACAGAAAGGGAGAAGTCACTCCCCAGGGAGATGACCTTGCCGCAATCCCTTCTCCATTCTCCTCTGGTCTCCGCACCTGGTGTGTTTTCAGCTACCAGGTACAGGACTTGAACTGTTGGCCATGTGGAAGTCCAGCATCATTACTACACCATCTGCTGGCCTCAATTTATTTTTTTAAGAATTATTTAATTTTAGGGACCAGCAGTTGACATAATTGGTATGTCAATGTACTCCCAGGTAGACCGCGTTTCGAGTCCCAGACCTGGTAGTTTAAACTCACGCCGGGTGCGTGTGCATGCGTGCCCAAGATTCTGATAGGAGAATGGAGGAAAAGAGATTCCAGCGTGAACATCCCCCTGGGGGGTGAATTTTTTTGCTTTCTCTTTGTTTCTCTCTGTCTGGCGAGCACATGTGTCCTATAGCAAAAACCTCCCCCCCAAAATAATTATTCAATTCTACTTATTATTATTAATTTTTAATTTGTTATAGGGCACCTGCACTCATCAGAGAGGGAAAGTGAGAAAGTAAGCTGACAGATCTGGAACTTGAACCATTGTCAGCCTTGTGGGAGTCCAGCACTTTAACTGTCACACCATTTACTGGCCCCCATGTTAATAACATTACTAGTTTTGTTAACTTTGATCACTTGGTTATTGTGGTTGTGCAAGTCATATTTTTCCACTGTTAAACTATTTTCTTTCACTTTGTATTGGGAAATTCTTGAAATTATGAGTAATCTTAATATCATACTTTAGCAAGTATTCATGTTTCTTTCCCAAATTAATGTAGTGTTCGACAAATGATTTTCTATTATTTCTTTTATTTTTTTAGAGTGATTATTGCTATAGTGCGTGTCACTCATTGGAGAAAGAGGCAGAGAAACAAAGTGAGAATTCATCCTTCAAGGGGAGTGGCTATACCACAGTCCCTTTTCCATTCTCCTCTTGGGATTTTGGGCATGCACACACACACATTGAGTTTCAAGCCACCAGGTCTGGGACTTGAACTGCATTGACTGTATTGGAGTTCAGTGCCTTAATCACTCTATCATCTGCTGACCTCTCCATTAAAAAAAAAAACTTTTGGGACCAGCAGATGGTGTAATGGTTACATTGCTGGACTCCCATGTAGTCTACCACAGTTCGAGTCCTGGACCTGAAATTCAGGCTGGATGCATGTGTGTGCATGCCCAAGATCCTGAGAGGAGAATGGAAGAGAAGGGATTGTGGTGTGGCTATCTCCCCAGGGTACGGGGGTAATTCATTGCTTTCTGTCTCTCCAGTGAACACATGCCCCCAATAGCAAAAATCTCAAAAAAAAAAAAAAAATGCCTTTCATCCAGCAGGTGGTATGGAAGTTAAGGCAGCTGGATCCCACATGGAGTAGTGTGTAGTTCAAGTCCTGGACCTGGTGGCTTGAAAACCACACCAGGTACACGTGCGTGTGTGCCCAAAATGCCAAGAAGAGAATGAATGAGAAGGAATTAGAGCATGGCCATCCTCTGCTAGGGGGTGATTTTTCTCTCTGCCAAGCCAAACTGAAGGGAAAAATAAATTTTTTTTTTCTTAAGGATCTCACTGTTGTCCAAGTTGGCCTCAAGCTTGCAATTTTGCCCCAGTCTCTTGAGTAGTTTGGGCTATAGGCCTATACACGCCTACTTGTGTTTTTTTGTTTGTTTGTTTTTAGATTTTTGCCATAGATTTGCTCACCAAAGAAAGTGAGTAATCGCCCACATGGGAAATGGCCACACCACAATCCCTACCTCCAATCTCCTCGTGGGATGCACACACACACACACCCAGTGTGATTTTCAACCCCTCCGGGTTAAAACATGGTCAGAGATATGAGGATTGAATGCTTTAACCTCCACACCATCTGCTGGCCCTGTACATTCCTACTTTTTTATTAGTTGAGATTCTACTGAGAGGATTTTCTTCTGTATTATTAAAGTATTTTATTGATAATGAACCCTTATATTTTCTATGTTATTCTGAGTTATTTATTGCTAAAATTCTCATGTATTTGGCCATGTGAGCCCCTTCCAGTTATCTTTTTTCTATGTCCCATCTTTTTTTTTTTAATATTTTCTTAATTTTTGGCACTATTAAATGTACTAGGTCTCAACAGTATCTGACTTTTTCCAGCCTTGGAGTCAGTAATTTCTTTAAGCATCTATGCATATTTCCTTTGAGAATAGTAATTAGAAACCCAAATAGAAACTTAGTCTACTCATTCTTACAAAAGTTTCTTTGCTTTAACCTGCTTAACACAACTAGGAAATACATGTATATATACATACACCTATTTCTGTGTGTGTGTGTGTGTGTGTGTGTGTGTGTGTATGTAACAGTTCTATTTCTGTATGTGTATGTATGTATGTCCATGAGAGCATATGGGTATTTCCAATACCAGTCTGTCATAATAGAATTTATTCTAATCAGTTTCCTTTATAGTTATAACTCTGTCCAACAGCAAGAACTTTACCCACAATATGTTCTTTTATTTGCTTAATTCTAGAATGCACATAGTTTCAGAATTGCTTTTCCATTTTTCCCTTTGAAAAACTATCCAGAGTTTAGTATTTTATAGCTTCTTTCATTTTTAGTCTTAGTGTACATAATCTAGATACTGTTTTACAAAGTTACATAGTTCCTTCCTCTGCTCTTTTCAGTATGGTTATGTTTGTTTCTGTATTTCATAATGGTGCCTGCTCATTCTTGTTAACTTTTTTTGGTTGTAAAATGTTAGCATAGTTCTACAAATTACACGTACACACTAAGTGTCCTTCCCTTTCCTTCCTATGCTATTGTCTTCCCCCTCTTTCCTATCCTGCTTGCCTCTACCTCCAGAAGCAACCAACTCCTGGTTTCTGGTTTACCCTGTCCTTGTTTTTGCATAAATGAGCATGTGTGTTCTTTTTCGTGAAGGGTAACATACTATCATCACTCTTTGGTACTCCTTCGTCACTTTAAGCATACCTTGCAAACTACACCAGTTCATGGAGTACTTTCTTAAGAAGGAAACCATTGTTTTAAGAATATTTAATTTTCATTATTATTTTTTTATTTGACCAGAAAGAGAGTGAGAAAGCAAGCTGTCAGGTCTGGGACTCGAACCACAATGAGTCAAGTGGGAGTCCAGCACTTCAACCACCACTCCTGCTGGCCTCAAAAACACACTTTTTAAAATAGCTACATAGTACTAAATTGTGTGAATACACCATGGTTTCTCTATTCTGTATATAGCATGGCATTTAGATCATTTCCAACATTTTCTCATTACAGTGCTATAACTGAATAATCTCCTGTATGTGAATTTTCTGTTGGGATGTATCTAACCATAGATTTCCAGAAGCAGGATTGCTGGATCAGTATAATTGCATATGAACTTTTGCTAGATATTGCCATATTCTCCTCCAAAAAGTTTGTACCAGTTTGTTTGCCCGCCAGCCAGGAATGTATCTGTTCTCCCACAACCTTAAAAACAAAATGTGTTTGTTATGCTTTCAATTTTTTTTAAAAAAATTAACTTTATTTATTTAAATTTGACCAAAGAGGGACAGAGCGAGAAAGATGGAGAGGGGAGAGAGAGTGAGGTAGCGAGAAAGTGAGAAAGCAAGCTGCCAGGTCTGGGACTCAAACCACCGTCAGCCATGTGGGAGTCCAGCGCCCTTAACACTACACCACCTGCCGGCCCCTGGGTAAATCTCTTCTTTATGGCACTCATCCTTTTAGCCCCAAACTACAATAGCCCAAATGCCTATTTAATGGCAGTATGGTACATTGCCGTATATTCACACAAAGCAGTTACTTTTTAGCAGAGCACACAGTATGTAATAAAAATTTTAAATGAGCATAATAAATCACAAAGGAAAAATGAATGGAAATGGAAATAAGCATCAGTGGAGAACCACAATGGAAGTACTAGTGTAAAAATACAGTTAAAAACTTTTTTTTAAGTGTTTGCCCCTGGGCCAGTAAATAGCAATGGTGGTTAAATGTTAGATCCCACTCTATGATTCTAGTCGGGGCCTGGCAGCTTGAGAATCACACCAGTACATGTGTGCATGCCCGAAATCCTGAGGAGATAGGAGGAGAGGATATTGTGCTGATCCCCCTTAAAGGATGATTTCTCTTTTGCCCCTCTCTCTACCTCTGTCTCTCTCCAGTAAAGTCATGTGCCTATGGCAAAAATAAAATATAAAATAAAGGAGCCAGCAGGTGGCGTGGTTAAAGGCGTTTGACTCCCACATGGCTGACCATGCTTCAAGTCATGGCGACTTGCTTTCTCACTTTCCCTCTGTCTCTCTCACTGTCCCTCTCTGGTCAAATTAAAATAAATAAAGTTAAATAAAATAATTAAAAATAAACAAATACCCCAGTAACAATAGCAACAACCCAATACCAGAGCTTATGCTTTGAAACAAGATTCAACATCTTTTATTTACATATTTATGATACACATTAATGATCTTATACAATTAACTAAATCTAGTAACAATGGTAAGGATGGAACATAAAAGCTGCAATTCCAAATTTCAGTCAGGTCGAAATACTTTTTCCACTAACTAAAAGATACAATCAATGAGCAGCCATTATAGAGTTCGGGGCTGTATGTCAATTCACTCTTTAAAATTTAAAGTCAGCCACATGGCTAATAAGACAATGGAAATTTGCAAATGCAAATATTACATATGCAGGTATAATGCATGCATAGCTATCACATTTATTTTTTATGCTGAAAGCCATTTTCAAAGAGGAATAAACATCTTAATATATGTACATCAAGGCACATCCTTTTCTTGTGCTTTAGGAATGATTTACATGTGATCTGCTTATATCTTAGTTTTATACACTGGAACAGCTTCTAATACCTAAAACCTAATTTTAACAATTACAGCTTGAGTGGTAGTTTCCTAGAGAGAAATGTAGCATCTTCTCATGGTTATTTTGGAAATCAGAAAATTGGATATCTTAAAGAGGTGAGAATTCCCAAATCAAACATGAATAATATTTTAGTTTTCAGGGAACTTTTAAAAATAACAAATTTTCAGTCATTTGGTGGGACCATAATCAATGAATTTAAGTTATATGCTATAACGAGGGCTGCACTGACGAATCTTCAATGTTCTGAAATTACTGGACAATTACATGGTATTCACAGTAGATGTCCTATGTTGCTATTCTATTTCTCAACTGCAGTTTTTCAACAAAATTAAACAATTAAACATGATACAAAAGCTGAAAACACACCAAACCTAACTTGTTCACTATTAACTTGTTCATTCTTTAGCAAAATAATGGCATTTTTTGTTTGTTTCTGCTTTGTTATCAAGGAGAAATTTCCCATCAACACTGTTTAATAACAATGTTCCTCATGGTCAATTTACTTGCCTTGAAGAGATAGTACAGTAAGGCTTTAATAGGCATTTCATGCATTTTAATGGCATTTTAAAAGTTAGCTATTCTCTTATGGGTTCCCCATATAGTTAAATATACTGTGCAAACTTGATTACAACATGTAACTCATTAAGTGCTTTAAAATAGAATAAAGAATCCCTGACTTTAAAGGGGCGAAAATAAATAGGAAGTTGAGAATCACATACCTAAGCATTTAAAATATGTAATATACCTATGCATACTACTGAAATGCTTTATATTAGAATTTTCTTTTTAATCCATAAACGGGGCAAATGAAATCACAGAACCTCTATATTGAGAGTACAACAGAAGAAAACCCAACTGGTGCAGCCTTCTCAAATCAAAATATATAATAAAGTAATGTCAAATGCAAATGAAACTGTACAGTTTAAAATTGAGTACAGTCATTTATAAACATTAATTCATAAAAGGTACACCATGATAAACTACCGCCATCAGACAGAGTTGTTTCCAATTCTTTACAGTAAATGGACTTTTCTATAGAACAGCTTAGAAATGTTAGGCCAAACAGTTTAGAAATGTTACATCACAAACGGCCCAGAGCCTTGACAGATAAAGTCTTAAGTGGATAGTCACATGGCATTGTAAACAAATATCTGGGAGTCCGGTGTGCATGAGATGTCACTTGTTTTTATCTTCATTACTGTATTCATTCTGCTTCTGAAATATGTGCCACCTCTACTTCGACAGTTTGAATAGCTTCTGCAACTTCAGATAGCTTCTGTCCTTGCTGTTGAGCCAACACGTAATTAACTACTTGCATAATACTTTGGTCAGAAAGTGTAGATACCGATGGACACTCTTCAGTAGCTGCAACGGCTTCGAGAGCTTCCATAGTCTCTCCCGTCACTACTACAGTCTCGAGTTCTTGAGGACCACTGCTCTCTTGTTCCTGCATATCTGCTGTCAAGATGCTAACAGCATGCTCTACTTGAGTCCCTTGGTTATGAAACTGAAGGGTGTCTTTTTCCAGCATAATTTTACAAGGCACATAGTCTCTGTGGAATTTAGTCATATGTTTACGAAGTGTTCGGGCATCTATGTAGGCTTCACTACACACAGGACAGACATAGGGCCGTTCACCAGTATGTGTTCTGACGTGGCGTTTTAGAGACCGGGCATCAGCCCAGGCTACTCCACATGTCAAGCACTCAAATGGTTTAACTCCTATTAAAAACAAAAAGGTTTATGTATGGTGAGGTACAAGTACCAAGATACATTAAAACTGGCTGCCAAATAATGTTTTTTGTTAAAGTACAATAAGCCACAAGCCTTTTTATCTTTTATCTCTAAGGTAATGATTCATTTAGAACCAAATGGTTCTCCTTAGAATAAACAAGGTTCTGTAATAAAATCTCTCTAAAGATATTCCAATAGATACAAGTTAGTGAGAAATCTCATTTATTCCTTCAAAGCAATCCTATATTCCTACAATAAGGAACCAGGCTTCTAACAGTTTAGTTCAGCATAACAATTTTGATATATTGGGTCATCAAAAAAGTCATGACCTATTTTTCTATGCCTTTCTATGCAAAAATGCATCATGACTTTTCCCACGATCTAATAGAATTAACTTCTCTAAACAGGAATCGGTTGACCCAGATGGTAGTTTGGGAGGCTAGGTCCCACGTGGCTGATGGCACATTGGAGTCCCAGACACAGTGGCTTGAAAAACATGCCAGGTACATGTATGTGCAGGCCCAAAGGAGAGGGGGAGAGAAGAGGACGACAGAGAGAATGGAGGACACGGGATTGCGTACTCTTCATTCTCACTTTCCCTTTCTGGTGAGCACACACACCCTATGCAAACTGAAAAATAAATTAATCTATTTAAACAATAATTAGGTACTGGGTTCAGGATCACCTCTGTCACTTGAATATATTTCCCAAGAAGTGGGATTATCCTCTTATCAAGGAAGATGAGGGGGTAACGAGAGCTGGTGAAGGAGCTCACTCCTGGAGCGGCGTGTACTCCGTGTAGGTGCACAGCACTGAAACTGCACTTACCGTCGTGGTTGTTCATGTGCCTCCTGTACTCCCTCAGCTGCGTGAACTTTCTGCCACACTGTTCACACACCCGCTCCAGGTTTTGCTTTGCTCTTCCTTTTTTCCCGTGAGTAGCCTTCTTTACATGCCTTCTGAACAAAGCTTTTTCGTAAAATTCTTTGCCACATATATTACATCTAAACGGGAAAGGAACCAATTTGTTATGTAGAAAGCACCAGCAAGCCCTAAGAATCGAGGCACAAATATACTTCCACTAAGTTCAGATCCTTTTCAAATTTACCCACCTGTAAGGCTCAGTAACAGAATGTGACTTCACATGGGAATACCAATCTTTCTTCCAACTATAGCACTTGTCACAAAATTGGCACTGAAAGGGCTTCACACCAAGGTGTTTGTTCATGTGCTGACGAAGATCTCTAGCTTCAAAGAAACTTTTTTCACATCTGCAATGAAGTTCAAGTATTCAACTAGATCACATTATTACTTTAAGACAAGTTTCCGAGAACTCATAATAGTCTAAGGTTTTTAGACCACCACAAAATAATCCCAACTAAAAAGCATCCCCTAATAGTCTAATCTTGTACCCGGGCTGGCAGGTGGCATAGCGGATAAGGGCACTGGACTCCCACATGGCCAACTGTGGTTTGAGTCCTAGACCTGGCAGCTTGCTTTCGACACTCTCCCCACCCCTCGCTCTGTCATTCTGGTCAAATTTTTAAAAATAAGAGTTAAATAATAAAAAAAGAATATTCTCATCTTGTATCAAGGTGCACAATTTAAAGTTTTTTTGGGGGGAAGGGGGAGAGGTTTTCGCTCTCAGGCGCGTGCGCTCACCAGAAAGACAGAGAGATAGAAAGCGAGAAATCACCCTCAGGGGGGATAGCCACGCCGCAATCCTCCTCCATTCTCCTCTTGGGATCTTGGGCACTCATGCACACGACGCATCTGGCGTGAGTTTTAAGTTGCTGGGTCCGGGACTTGAGCCACGGTCGACCACGTGGGAGTTCAGCGACATAGCCATTACACTAATTGCTGGCCCCACGATGATTTAAAGTTTTTTGTGGCTAAAATACTAGAAATGTTACAGAAAGAATTATGCAGAGTTCCCAAAGGTTATAATAGAGATAATTTACTGTCTCTCTCTTCTTTTTTAAATTCCCTTCATCCCTCTTACTCTCCATCAATGTGCTGAGGCTTTAACACTGGACCCAAGGGATGGAGCATGACTCTGGCTTAAGACAACTGGCCCAGTATTCCCCTGGCAATAGTTAAGTGACTTAGGAATGACCAAATGTCCTAACTGTACCTAATCAGAATCAACCCTCAGGGTACTTACAGGAACCTCCAGAAAAAGAATCTTGACAATTAGGGAGTTGAAAGAATGAGAGGCTGAAATCACCGCCTGAGAGAAACCAAGTGCTAATGAATCTGACTTCAATTTACATTAAATCACTACGACTTCTAGACTTTCCCTTTCACTCAAGCCAGTTTTGAGTTTTTTTTTTTTTAATCCCACTTGTAACTAAAAATGTATAGATAATAAGCCTTGTTTTTTGTTTTTGTTTTGGAGAGGTTTTTGCTATAGGGCGTGTATGCTCGCCAGAGAGACAGAGAGAGAGAGAGAGACAGAAAGCGAGAAATCACCCCCCAGGGGGGATGGTCACGCCGCAATCCCTTCTCCTCCATTCTCCTCTCGGAATCTTGGGCATGCGCGCACACACATGTGCCCAACATGAGTTTAAGGCACTGGGGTCCGGGACTCGAACTATGGTCAACTACATGCAAGTCTAGTGACATAACCATTATGCCAACTGCTGGTCCCTAAACTGTCTTTGTTTTAAAATAAGAGTAATTATAGAGTGACATCAGCAAACATGGCAGAATAGCAAACTCCAAAAGTAGTAGATAAAATTCTACAAAAGTAGTATATATGGGAACCAGCAGTTAGCGTAATGGCTATGTCTCTGGACTCCCACATAGTCGACCGCGGTTGGCATCCTGGACCCGGTGGCTTAAAACTCACGCCGAGTGCTTGTGCCTGCATGCCCAAGATCCCGAGAGGAGAATGGAGGAGAAGGGATTGCGGCGTGACCATCCCCCCTGGGGGGTGATTTCTCACTTTCTGTCTCTATGTCTCTGTCTGTCTGGCGAGCGCACACCCCCTATAGCAAAAATCTCTCCAAAACAAAAAAAAAATAGTAGTAGATAGAAACTGGCAAATGGTCAGAATAAACATCAGAAATTCTAGAAACTAACCAGAAGTTTACAGTGACCAGGCAAAGGTATAATCAAATAGAAAAATTGCTGAATCCCTTTAAAAGAACTTAATGGCAGTTTAAATTCCCTGGGCCCATAGCTCAGCAGCAAAGATAAGCCTGCATCAGGACCAGCAGTTAGCATAATGGCTATGTCACTGGACTGCCATGTAGCCGACCACAATTCAAGTCCCAGACCCGGTGGCTTAAACTCACACTGGGCGCGTATGTGTGCATGCCCAAGATCCCGAGAGGAGAATGGAGGAGATGGGATTGTGGCGTGGCCATCCCTCCTGGGGGGGGATTTCTCACTTTCTATCTCTCTGTCTGTCTCTCTGTCTGGCGAACGCACGCTCCCTATGGCAAAAACCTCTCAAAAAAAAAAAAAAAAAAAAAACGATAAGCCTGCATTCCCAGTACAGGTTAATAATACTGAGGGACTTAAAGAATTACTGCTAAGGCACTGGACTCCCACATGGCCAACCTTGGTTTGAGCCCCAGACCCAGCAGCTTGAAAATCGTGCCAGGTATGTGTGTGTGCATGCTCAGAATCCGAGAATGGAGAAGGGATAAGGTGTGGTCATGCGACTCCTCCCCGGGAGGTGAGGGTGTAGGGGAGTGATTTCTCACTTTCTCTCTCACTGTCCCTCTCTGGCAAGTGCACCTGCCCTATGGCAAAAATCTAAAACCAACCAAAAAGAATTATGTTCATTCTTACTTATCTGGTGGTTCTCTCAAAGAACTTCTCCTTGCCTTTTTTTTTAAGTTTGTTTATTTTTTCTGTGAGCAAGAGACAGAGAGACAGCACACCTCTCTAGGTCCTGATGCCACGATCCATTTCCAGCCTCTGCCAGCCCCAGACCATGGGCAAACACATGACCAGCATACTCAGGGCGTTCTCTAGGGCACAAACCCAGAGCTTTGCAGAGCATCACACTTTATGGCTGTACCACTGTCCAGCCTCATCTTTGTCTTTCTCATAACTTTCCCAGGACCAAGGGCTAGAGATTTATTGACAATACTTAAAGCAAATGCATTAGCCACTATCATCTGGGGCAAGGAAAAACAGTTTTATACAAATAATACACAAATCAAAGAGCTTGAGAATGAGACTGGGGAATAAGGGCTTTGAAAACAAACTTATTTTTATATATTTATGTAATCTGATTTATTATTATTTTTTAATTTGCTACAAGGCACATGTCCTCACAAGTGAGAGAGAGAGAGAGAAGAGTGAGAAAGAATGTTGCCAGGTCTGGAACTCAAACTACAGTCGGCCATGTGGGAATCCATCACCTCAACCACCACGCTACTCCAAAACTCACATATTTATAAGAAAAAGTCTGAGAAGGCCCTGAGGTCTTACCTCTGGCTGACCTAGAATGGCACAAATAGGAAGTGAAGGCTAAGTGAAGGCTGTGCTGGAAGATATTGGCATCAATGATCATGATCATGAATGTATTAAAAGCCCCTCCTGTATTTATATGATTAATTTCATGTTATATGGATTTTTGCCTCCATATTAATTATATATATATATATAAATTTATATATATATATATAAATCAGAAGGCATCTGAAAATTAAGGGAAAAAAAATCCGAAGGAAGGAAAAACTAGGTGAGTGCCCAGGGCTTCAGAAGAACTGCTGAGAGGAAAACACTGGCTGGCAGTGAACCCCTCTTTCTTGGTCCTCAATCCCACAGAGTACACTAAGATTTAAAAATTTTCTTTGGCCCAATAGCACAGTGGTTAAGCACTGTGTGGAGGGAGCTAGATACTACAGGTTGACCATGGTGCAAATCCTGGCCCCAAGGCTTGAACATGTGCTGGGCACTTGTGCACACATCTCCAAAATCCTGACAGGATAGAGAAATGGAAAAAAGGGATTGCAGCATGACTATCCTCCATGGGGGAGTGCATTCTCTCTCTTTGACAAGTACATGCACCCTCTGGTAATTTGAAAAAAAAAAAAAAAAACTTATTAACTTTGCAGAGTGACTTATGTCATCATCTTTTTCTTTTAATTTAGTTTGTTTCTATAGGGTGCATGCACTCACCAGAGAGGGAAAGTGAAAAATAACCCCCGGAAGAAATGGCTAACCCTAATCCCTTCTCCATTCTCCTCTCAGGATTCTGGACACGGATGCACAAGCACCCCCACATGTTTTTCAAGCTGACAAGCCACACAGGTGGCTATGTAGGAGCCAGCACTTTAACTACCACACCACCTACTGCCCTCCCCTCTTTTTTATAAAGAATTATTTTATTGTCATCATTTTATTTATTTTTATTTTTTGAAGTTGACCTGAGAGAGACAGAGATACAGAAGGAAAGTAAGAAAGCAGGCTGCCAGGTCCAGGACTCAAAACTGTGGTCAGTCATGTGGGAGGTCCAGCTGCCTTAACCACCACACCACCTGCTGGCCCCCTCCCGACTTTTTTTTAATTTGCAAGAGAGCGCATATGCTGGAAAAGAGAGAGAAAGCATGAAAGTTACCCCCACGGGGCACAGCCATACCACAATCCCTTCTCCATTTATTCTTTTGGAATTTGGGGCAGGCATGTACATGTATCCTGTTTTTCTCACATCATTGGGTGCAGGACTTTAACCGTGGGGTCAGCTATGTGGGATCCAGCTACCTTAATCACCAGGCCACGGGTTACCTTTTTGCTTTCTTTTTTCTTTTTTTTAGTTTGCTATAGGGCATGTGTGCTCCACAGAGAGGAGAGAAAGGAAGACAGAGAGAAATCACCCGCTAGGGTGGATGACCATACCAGTTCCTTCTTGTACATTTTCCTCTCAGAATTTTGGGACCCCTGCACACACATCCAGTGTGTTTTTCAAACCACTGGGTCCAGGACTTGAACAGCACAGTTGGCCATGTGGGATCCAGCTACCTTAAACATAATGCCACAGGCCAGCCTCTATATTTAAAAAAAAAAAAAAACTATTAAAAAGGAAGGAAAAAAAAAAAAAAAAAAGCCAGGCATAGGCAACACAACACAAAAAACTCATTCAAAATCAAGAGTAGGGACCAGCGGTTAGCGTAATGGCTATGTCGCTGGACTCCCATGTAGTTGACCACGGTTCGTGTCCCGGACCCGGTAGCTTAAAACTCACGCCAGGCGTGTGCATGCGTGCCCAAGATCCCGAGAGGAGAATGGAGGAGAAAGGATTGCGGCGTGGCCATACCCCCCGGGGGGGTGGTTCCTCGCTTTCTGTCTCTCTGTCTGTCTCTGGTGAGCACACATGCCCTATAGCAAAAACCTCTCTAAAAAGAGAAAATTTAAAAAAAAAATTAAGAGTAAACTAAAATTAAAGTTAAACTTTATCTTTGAATACTGACAACTTTCAAATAAATTGTGTAAAAAAATTAATTGATGGCTTCATATATTCACATATTAAATACGTACTGAGTGCAATGATACCCTCGAACCTCAGGCTTTGGCTGGTGTTTCTTTAAGTGCTTGCTAAGTCCAGAACCCCTGTGAAAAGACTTTCCACAAACTGAGCAATGGTACTTGGACTCTCCTGTAAAAAATAAAAACCATATCACAAATCCAGCAATCAGGTCCTCTTGTAACAGATTTGTTTTTCTCCTCTTCAAATGAGAGTGTGTGTCAGGCTGTGCAGGGTAAAGAAACAGGTTAATTGTTTAAAATGTATATCCCCTTCTACAAGAAGCAGTCACTTCTGACAAGGTCTTGTCACACTGCAAATCTCCCCCAGCTTCCCAGCTAGCCAGGAACACAGGTTCACACAGGTATATCCAAGGTGTTCAGGTAGTTGCAGGACCCAAGCCTGTGGCTCCCACACTGATCAGCAGGTCCTACCACATATACCACCACACCTGGGCCCAACAGAACTCTGTCTTATTTCAGAAGTTATTTTAATCAAGGAAATGTGGAAGCTATATCATTTGGCAAGTATTTTAAATTTTTTTTATTTTTTTATTTTATTTTTAACTTGCTATATAGCACACAGGCTCATTGAAGAAAGAGAGAGAGATAAAGTGAGAAAGCACCTCCCAGAGGGAATGGTCATGTTACAATCCCTCTTCCTCCATTCTCCTCTTGGGATTTTAGGTGTGTGGAGTGTGTTCAACCTGCTGGGTCCAGGATTCAAAGCACAGAGTTGGCTATATGCCTTAACTGCCACTCTACCTGCTAGCCCTTATTGAGGTTTTTGTTGTTGTTATTTTCTTTTTTTAGTTTTATTCAGTCTAATACCTAAAGAATGAGATATGCATGCATAATCTATGGATTATAATAGTAACAGAAGCAGGCATCTGCCCTTCATAGGTTATTCCTGAACTTTTGCTTTAAAGCATCTGAAAGCAGGTATGTGTAGACTAAAAATTCTAATAAAATCATAAGCTAGCAGGACTAGCAGTTGGCATAATGGCTATGTCCTTGGACTCCCATGTAGTTGACTGCGGTTCAAGTCCCGGAGCTGGTGACTTAAACTCACACCGGGAGAATGGAGGAGAAGGGATTACGGAGTGGCCATCCCCCCCGGGGGGTGATTTCTCGCTTTCTGTTTCTCTCTGTCTTTCTGGTGAGCACATGCACCCTATAGCAAAAACCTCTCCAAAAAAAAAACAAATCATAACCCATCTGCAATGTTGACATTTATGTCTGCCTACTATTTAACTTTTTTGTTAAAGAATTATTTTATTTAGCTTTATTTATTTTACTTGACCAGAGACGGTGAGGGAAGGGTGGGGGGAGGTGAGAGAGCAAGCCACCAGGTCCGGGACTCAAACCGCAGTTGGCCATGTGGGAATCCAGTGCCCTTAACCACCACGCCATCTGCCATTTTTAAAAACCATGACATTTTCTTTTTTTCATATTTTTGAAAGAGAGATTTTTGCTATGGGTACATGAGCTCACTGGACAGACAGAGAGACAAAACGTGAGATATCACCCCCTAGGAGGGAATGGCCATGCCGCAATCCGTTCTCCTTCAGGAATCTTGGCCACACATGCCTGGTGAGTTTTAAGTCACTGGGTCTAGGACTCAAACTGCAGTTGACTAAGTGGGAGTCCAGTGACGTAACCATTATGCTATCTGCTGATCCCTAAGACCATGACATTTTCTTTAGGTGCCTGGATCTAAATTACACATTATTTAACATTAAATATTCACTGTTTTTACAGGGGGAAAGAAGATATTTTAATACAAATAAGACAGCTCCAAAACTAGGTTTAAGAAAATCTTTTAACTTTAAATACTGTCTTATTAGTTAAAATGCACCCATTAGCACAGCAATGTAATTTCTGATATAATCACAGCATAGTTAATAAGACAGTAAATTAACAATATATAAAAGCATATAAAATGTAACTATGTCAAAATATAAATTTTTCATTACCTGTGTGAATACTCATGTGTTCTTGAAGACTCCGTTTGGTAACAAATGACTTAACACATAGTTCACACTGGAACTGCTTTTGTGACTGATGGAGACTCTGGTGTAATTTTAGACCATGCTTGTAAATAAAAGTTTTTCCACACACCTATGAAAGAATAGGAGTGTTGAAGTTAGTACAACAAAAAGGGCAACAGGCTCTATTTCTGAAGAATGAAGACAGAGAAAGTGGTGTATTATTTTAAATAAAAATATGAATTTAATTTAAATTACTGGGTCGTCAGAAAAGCCATGAGGTATCTTTCTAAGCAAAAATGGATCATGACTTTTCCAACAACCCAATATACACAAAATGATACAGTGCAAGTTAAATCACAAATGCTAAAGATTTAGCTAACTGGTCCCTCTTCTGACACAGTACTTAAGTATTATCACTATCTTTCTTAAATCCATGTCATCACTGGAGAAGGTCAAAACCGCATGAGAAACCTGTGCTATCTTTGTGAGATTGGTAAATGGTGCACCTATTTCTTTTTTTAAAGAATTATTTTACCCCTCTGAGGGGTGGCCACTCTCTCTCACTCTCTATCTCTCTTTCTTTCCCTGACCACAGTGAGTGCTCATGCCCTATAGCAAAAATCATAATAAATGAATGAATAAATGTATTTTTAAAAAAGGATAATCAATTAATGTCCTGCTACACCAACTACTACAGTGCTTCTCAAACTCTGTGATTAAAAATAAAATAAAATTTTTTTCCCTTCTACTAATCCATAACAGTGATTTCTGTTAAACACAACAAAAATGTCACAACAGTGCCAAACTGCTATGAGAGTTTCAACACGCTTACTCTGAATTTCTGTACTTCTGTTTCATGGGCCACACATTCTGAGTAGTGCTGCCACACTGGAAGATCAGAGTCCTAACTAATACTCGGTATTTAAATTTATAAATAAAATAATATTTAGGACTTGGCTTTAAAATAACTGGAGTGGGGTGGGAGGGAAGGCAGTGAATGACATTATACACAAAACGCATTTGACCCTAAACTGCAACATCTGAAATTGAGGGCTCATCTCATTCTCTTATACTTTTATTTGTATTTAATAAAAAAACTTTAAAAGGAGAAATGTAATAAAGTCTCATTACTCCCCAAACTGTCTGATAATAACAGTGGGTCAAACTTATAAGGAAGCCTACAGGCGCTACCAGAACTTTTTCACTGTTCCAAATAGCCCAAGCTGGCTAACCACAGGATTCTTCACCCAGAAGTCGTAATCCGGCACTTGGGTATCCTCAATGTGTGATTCTAGAGAGGAACACATAGCTTAGGTGGGATTTATACTGACCATGGATTTATCTCAGTCATGGATTCCTTCTCAGTTCAGGTGGT